TGGAGCTGCGCGTCGTCGAAGGTGTGCGAGGACGGCTCCTGCATCTTCCGGTTGATGACCTCCCGCACCCGCGAGTCCAGGCTCACCTGGGTGGCACGGAGAGAAACGGGGAGGGCTGGTGAGGTTGAGAGACCACCAGCGACAAGCCCCCAGCCCCAGCACCCGCCCCCGAGCAAGTTCTCTTGGGGAAATTGTGTGTCAACACGGCACAGAGACCATGGTGGGCTCCACCCTGGAGCCTGTTTGCACCAGAGCCAGGGGGTTTAACCACAAAGCAAACTTGTTACCCTGCCTAACTCGTCCCCAAATTGCAGCAGCTGGGACAGAGGCCCCTCCTTAAGAAACATCCCCCAGCCCGCTTTGAGCCTGAGCTTTGACCCTTCCAGCGTCTCTGCCCCATACCTCCTTGGGCGAGAGGATGGAGATGTAGTCCTCGTAGATCGTCCTGGCCTTCTCGTCGATGGTGTGCTTGTTGCACTCGGTTTTGAGCTCCTCGCACGCCAGCCAGAAGAGCATGTTCTCCTCGCTGTACTCAGTCCGCAAGAACTCTCGGAAGACGTTGCGACCCGCCGGGCTCTTCATCAGATTGTCGAAGGACTGTGCCCAGCCCCGCACCTCCTCCGGCGTGGGCTTGGTGCTGTCGGGTCCCCGCGGGGCAGGCAAAGGGGTGAGGGTCAGTCCGGGAGGGCTGCGGGCTCCCCGCTTTGTCCCTCCCCACACAACTCATCCCTGGGCCCCCGGCCCAAACACATCACCCAAAGCTGCTCCTGCTCGGGCTTAGATTATCACAGAGGCTTTTCGAGGTCACTCGCGGGGTCCATCCCAGCTCTGCTCAGCCAGGCTGGAGCGTGGGGACTTGGTTTCAGCTGAATTTCCCAAGCTGAGATGTATTTTGGTGCACAACCCCCCCCAAAAAGGAGCAAAAGCCCTTCCTCTGCAGAGCAGCAGCAGCTCTGAGCTGGCGGGGAGAAGACCGACACTGGTCCATCACCCCTCACAGCTGGGGGCAGGAGGCTGCTCCCCAGTAAATACTCATTACCTGCTAAAGCAGCTAATTAGCCATCATTATCAGTAGCCAATTAGCAGGTCTGGCCCTGCTGTGCAGGTGCTGCTGTGGGCCACATCCCTCGGGGGGCAGGTCCTTGGGGGAACCCCAGAGCAGGGTGGCTGCAGGGTGAGGTCTTTGTGTGCCTCAGTTCCCCTTCGCAAGGGGCCCAGAAATTGTGGAGAGCTGCAGCCTGTGGCTCCAGCTGTTTACTGGTGGGAACTGGGGACCCCTGAGTCCTGGCACCCCAATCCCTTTCCCAGTGTGCACCAGTGGCCTGGGTGCGGGGCTGGGTGCCAGGGAGGGTGGCAGTGGGTGCCGTGCCGGTCCCCATCCCGCCCTGCACTCACCACGCTTCACAGTTTGGGATGGTCTCCAGTTTGGTCTCCCGGGACGCCCTCCATGCTCGCTGCCGGTCCTCGTTCCTAACAGGGACACGGAAAGGTAGTCAGGGGGCGTTGGGGGACCCACCCAGACCCCTGGCCTTGTTCACCAAATCTCCTCCAGCAGCACCCCACCACCCAGATCTTTCCCAGTACCCAGTAGCACCCCGGCTCCTTGTGCAATTTTGCCGTCATCGTGCGAGGGTGTTTCCTGCACTGGGGACCCATCATGGCCCCGCTCCATCGCCCAGGACGTGTGCCAGGGCTGAGCGGAGCGGCCGCGGCACCCAGCAGAGGTCAGTTAGTGAACCGCCATGAATAAACACCAATAAATAAATAAATGGGGGAGGCCGTGGCCATTGGGGCTCAGCACCGTGTTATCACCCTCTCCAGCCCTGACTGATCTGGGAAGCCAGTAACCAGGGAAGATGGATAATTATAGAATCATAGAAAAAATTGCGAAAGGCACCCCTGGGACACCCCAGCACCGGTCCAGCACAGGAGCTGAGCACAGGATAAAGGTGCTGGCACCCCGTGTTCCCCTGTCCCTCACCCTTCAGGGTGCCAGTGGTGCAAGGGGAGAGCAGGCTCCAGCCAACTTCCCTCTGGCCCTCGAATTTCGGTGCCGACCACAGCGTTTCCTGCTTGCGACACCGTCCCCCGCCACTCGCACAAGATTAAACATCCCAACTTCTGCCCCGGCGACAGCGAAGCTGCCGGCACCTCCTGGGGCTCGCTGCCCCCACCAACCTGAGCCCAAAAATGCTTGGCATCAGTCACTGCTTGCTCCAGGAGTGGGGTACAGGAGGGATTTCTGTCCTGCCTCTGCTCACGAGCTCTTGCAGAGATGGAGGAGGGACACGGGGTCACCCTGCCCACAGCCAAATGCCACTGAGCCCAGGCACGGAGATGTTTGGGGCTGGCTGCAAGGGGACCTGCTCGCCGACCTCGCTGCCTTGCAAATGCGAGGAAATGAGAGGGGATCAGGCAAGATGGGGCCCCACAGGCAGAGCTGGGATTTGCACAGGGCTGGGGACACCCCGTGGGTTTGCAAAGGGCTCAGGTCCAGGGTTTGTTGCTCCTCCAAGCTCAGCACTGCAGGTGGGGCTGTAAAGCCCAAAGCTGGTGCAAAGCTCGAAGCCATCAGCAAATCTCAGAGACGGCAGATGCTGAGGATGAAGAAGAGCAGACTGGGCTGCCCAAAATCTGGGCTAAACAGAGAATAAGGAGCCGGGCATCCTTGGAGAGGGAGACACAGCCCTAAGGCAAG